TGGAAGGACTAATGCTGAAGCTGAAACTCCAATACTTTGGCCACCTCATGTGAAGAACTGACTCATTGGAAAAGACCCTGATGCTGAAAAGAATTGGGGGCAGGAGGAGAAGGGGACGACAGAAGATGAGATGGCTGAATCTCATCATGAGATGGCATCACCAACTCGATGGGCATGAATTTGAGTAAACTCCAGGAGTTGGTGATGGACAGGGAGGCCTGGCTTGCTGCGATTCATGGGGTCACAAAGCGTCAGACATGACTGAACGACTGAACTGGACTGAATGTTACTATGTATAACTAGTAAAAAATAACCACAGTTTTATTACTATTGTAACTAAAGCATTAAAACATTTAAAATTTAATCATTATGGATGAAAATATTTTACATATTCTTTCCTTCTTCAAACAGTGTTTATAACCTTAACTTTGCTTGAGTCTTCAGGCTCAATATTATCAATATTAGATCGGTTGTTACACACTGTTGCACTTCAAGGGTACCTAACCTTGCCTAAAGGGAGTACGGAGGAGAGTACAGTGAAGGAAGAATCACTGAAATTCTTCTTAGGAAAGGAGATGCTTGAGATGGGATTTTAAGGGATGGAGGATAGGATAGTTCCAGATGAATGGAGAAAAGGATAAACATAAAGAAAAGGTAATTCAGAAATCAGGAATTCAAGGCAAGACAGTTTAATGATTAAGATCATTGGAATGAAACAACCGTGTGACCTTGAAAATTAACTTTTTAAAAATTTAATTTTCTCATCAACAGTACCTATTTCATTACGATGTTTGTAACATCATAAATTTGATGAGAGGCCCACAGTGTTTTTCTTAAAAAGCAGTTGTTACCATCATAAAGCCATGTTATTTCACACTGTTAATATTTTTCTATGATTCTAAATTGATTTGTTCTAGTTATTGGTAGTTGAAGTTTGTGTAGAAATAATTCAGATTTCTGACGTGAAATAATTATGATTAGTAATATGTAATTACTATCAGACCACTTACTGTGCACTGTAGAACGCTATGTCAATTTGTTGTGATTTACAACTGTATTAGAAGCAGTGGATCCACAGCTCAGAACACAAAGAGACTACAAAAACAGAGGAGCACTGAAGTTGAGTCCACAGCAAAGTGGACTCTAGTCTGGAAGTGGAAATAAATCTGTTTCTGCTCCTTCTCGTACATAGCAGATACTTTGTGAAGTAAAGAAAATGGGACAGCTTTAGCAGGAGCAGGAACTTTATAAGAACCTTACCTTTGTGTGCAGGGCTTCCCTGGTGGCTCAGACAGTAAAGCGTCTGCCTGCAATGTGGGAGACCTGGGGTTCGATCCCTGGGTCAGGAAGATCCCCTGGAGAAGGAAATGGCAACCCACTCCAGTACTCTTGCCTGGAAAATCCCATGCGTGGAGGAGCCTAGTAGGCTCCATGGGGTCTCAAAGAGTCAGACATGACTGAGCAACTTCTCATTCCTTTACCATGTATGTTGCAGCAGCTGGGCCCCTTAAAGGTCTGCACAGGTAATAGGTGTAAAGCGTATTTTTCTGTTTAATGTTATCTTGGGCCAGCCATTCACAAACCTGCTCAGGAATCACTGGTCCCTCATCACCAATTTGCTTGCTGCAACTCCAGTCACAATGGTCTCAGGCTTAATAATTTTATCCTTTAAAAAAAAAGGAAATAATGATCTCTTTACCTGCTATCACTAGCATTATCGGGTTCTCTGTCCTTAATAAAAATTACTCTCTGCTAGTTTTTCAATCCCTTCCTATTGTAGCCGCCTACAGATAGACTTCATGTGTGGTTAAATTCTCCAAGCTTTAGTATACCCATCTATTAAATGGGGATAATAGTAGTAGTTCTCTGATTGGTAAATCTTAAGGATTAAATACAATAATGCATGTGACGTTCTTCACAAAATACCTGGAACATCATAAATACTCAACAGATGTTACATGTTTGTTATATTACACAATTTATCATTTAATCCTTTTGCCTTCATTGAGACAAAATCTCAATGCTTTTTTATTGTATTATCTATTTTATAAATTATACAATAGCCTTTTTTCTCTTGGTATATAGTTCTATAGATTTTTTTTAAAGCAAATGTATAGATTCTTGAAATTGCAACCACAATAAGAATACAGAAAATTTCCATATGCACCAAATTATCTTTGCAGTCCCTTAATAATTACACGTTTCCCCATTCCTAACCTCTGGAAACCAGGGATCTGTACTTTGTCACTATAGTTTTGACTTTTTGAGCTGTCATGTAAGTGTAGTTACATATTATGTAACTTTTGATCTTAGCTTCTTTTCCTCAACATAATGATACAAAGACTCAAGGAAAGTAAATTAGAGCATTTTCCCATATTTAGTTTACAACTCAATTATTTGTGTGAAAATACTGACAAAACTGTAAATAATAATTAGCGAAGGCATTTTATATGTAAGTTTTGGTGAAAACTTTTTTTAAAACTTTTTGTTATTATATAGCCCACATAAGATTAGCAAATGTCCCTTTGATAATGTTTGGTACTACACACAATACAATATGGAAAAGAACAGGGGTTCTTATAGAGTGGGTTCTAGAAACAAGTAGATTCTTCAGTTTAGCAGATGGATAGAAGTGAATTATTTAGTGAAGCATATATTCTCAAGGAATTTGGTACAATAAAAGTATCTAGTTCCTTTAAAAAATTTTTGGAGAATATTTTCAGTCTGGTTTTTACTTATTGAAAAATGTTTCATAGCAACACGTATACATATGCTGGAGATACAGATATTTGAGAAAAGAAAAATGGAAAGTTATGAAAATGTTTAATAACTTTCTGACAGCTGTAATATTTTATGATCATCTTAGACCTCCTGTATTATCTAACTGTAACTTGCAGTTAACAGAAATGAAAGTTTGTTCCAAGTTAGTTTTACAAGCTAAATAAAATTGACTTACCCTAGGTAAAGTTGAGAAGATCACATTTATTTTTGGTGAATTGTTTTCCCCTTACATGTAGTTTTCTCCATCTTTTTGTCATAACCGTTTTATATAGAAACACCATTATGTAGACTTTTCATGCTACCTTCCACTATTCTGGGCTTGCCATTGTCACATTTCATTTTATATTGAAATTTGCTTCTAAGTGATTTGGGACCTCACATGCCTACTGGTTAATATGATAAACTAATATTGTCTGACATTCTAATAGTAGTAATTTAGAGTTTGGGAACCAACCATATGTGATGTTCTTTTGAGTCAGTCAGCATCTTTCCCCTGACCAACCTCACTGTCTTTTCCCCATCTCACCTCAACATCTTCAGGCTGATTCATTAGTAATTTTAACAGTGAGAATGTACATCAAGTAAAAGGGAAATAGAATAGTAAATTTGTCGGGTGAGATATTTGGGAATAGAAAAGGCTTTTGCTCTGACAATTATTGTACATAATCCCTACCAAGTCCATTCTTTTTTGCCTCAATCCTGTGATGTTGTGTCATCCTAAGGAACTCTCTTTTTTTTTTCCTTTGTAGTGAACCATTCATAATATTTTCTGGTGGATTGTCCTACGACAAAGCTTGCAGAAGACCAAGTTTAACTATCATGCATGGAAAAGCAATTACAGTGCTTGAAATGGATCATCCTATTGTTGAATTTCTAACTTTATGTGAAACACCCTATCCAAATGGTAAGTAACTAAAATGAAGCAATGTTGAAAAACAATTTTTGAAATGATAAGTTCCTAACAAAATTAAGCTTAAATATTTTTAGTTTTGGCAGCTGACATCTACTGTGATACAACACTGTGAGCTACAGGTGCTGGAGCAGGCTCTGCAACTGTACCCACTTGACAGACTGGAAGTAAGACAAGTGTAGTGCAACAGTGCTGGAGTTTCAGGTTCTAATATCAGGTAAGTGCTTTAAACTTTGATAAGGATGGTGGAAGCTGAGCTGGGAGGGTCCGATCGGGGTCCGGGGTGAAATCACTTGGAGAAACTGAGGTCTCCTAATAGCCTCTCCTAGACCAGCTCCACCCATCCCATTCCTGTGCCAATCAAAGTTAAAGCACTTACCTGATATCAGTGATCTGTAACTCTGGCAGTGCTGCATCTGTTTCACATCTGACTTTGCTTCAGATGCAACTGCAGCACCTGTGATTACTCTGGGATTGCTGATGTGTGGTTAGTGATTTATTCAAATTTTGAGAAAAATTAGAAGAGTCTTTGAGAGGAGAGGTGCTTAGGTATTTTTATCATCCCAAATATAAAGACTTTTTATAAACATAAAATCTAGTCTAAACTTACATGCAAACTGTATAATGGAATTTAATGATGGAATATATCTTAATGAAATCTAAAAATTGAGATGGATGAAAATGCAGAAGGGGAAATATGAGTTTGTGATTAAAAAACATAATATGTATATGTATATTCATACACATATATTACTATATTTTCAGGAGGGAAAATATAGATGTAGAGAGAAAACATTGTACTTGGAGACAGAATATTTGAGTTTATGAGTTAGCTCTGTCATTTACTAGCCATGTGACCTTGGACAAATCACTTCATATTTATCATTTATAGAAAAAATATAATATTGACCGCACATGATTATTAGAAAGCCAGAGGAACTCATCTTGTAATCTATAAAGATAAATACTTTTATTATAGATGTATTAATTTGTTTTAAATTACTGAGTTTCATGTTTAAAACCTAGAATAAAGTGATATGAAATAAAAAGCAACATGGCACTTTATTCCGAGTTGCCAGTGGCAGACAAATTACCTGTGCTGTTAATTAACCACAAATATTTATTGGATGCTTCTATGGCCTCAGGATAACAAGAACTTGGTGAGAAATGGATAAAGTATGAAACCGACCTCTGATGTCAAATTGCAGAAAATCTGGCCACAAAAGGAAGATAATTATGACTTAAAACATATTATGCCTTAATTAAGTGCAGAGTTATGAGTCAAAGTTTAAATAATATGCTAATTTATAGTTTAGTCAGGTAGTTGATGACTGAAATATTGCATGAAATATTCATACAAAGCTTATAGAAAATGTAGGATCTAGATAGGACTTGAAGAATGACTTGGGCCTTGAAAATAATACTGAGTAAAGGTTTTAGAAATTGTGCATTTGCTAGCATGGGATCAATTCAGAGAAAGGATTGAAAGCCTTTTGTAGATATTTGCAACTACAGAGGAATTTGGAGGAAATATTAAATGAAAGAAAGCAATGTTTTAGTGTGTGGGTTTGAAGAGAGGGACTGAAATCTAAAACTTTGGATTCCAACTGGGGAGGCTTTGTGATAGTATACATTAAAATGATCAAGCTATGACATCTTGATCTGCTGCTTATAGGAGTAGAAAATGAAAACCCATTGAATTTGGTCAACAGTTAGATTAGGGAGTAATATGAGTCAAAGATAACATTTTAGGAATAGTGGTTTTATAAGCAGTAACAACAGTTCTTGGGAGTAGAGAAGATAAATTTAAGTCAGTACAGTTGTTTAGAGCATAAAAGAGAGAGGGAGGAGGTCTTTACTGTTTATTTTGAATCATCATAATATATATGCTGTTTGGCGTTATGATAATGAATGATTAATGAACAAAGAAAGAAAGAACAGAGGACCAAAAACTTAGGTTAGGAAAATGCCTTCTTCAAGAAAGAAGGTATGCATGCCAGCAATAGAAACTGAAAATGTGTGGTTTCAAAGCTCAAACACTATATGTATATATACATTTCTGCATATCAGTAGAGATGTTAGGACAATTTCTAGTAATGTCAAACAAATTATAAATGTACTGTAACCAAGTCTAATTACTGCCAAACCATGTATATTACTTTGCTTTTCAGAGAAATGGTAATAAGGATGGAACTTTTTATTTATTAGGAGCTAGGAGAAATTTCACTTGACTCAATAAAATATAAGTGTATTTTGTTAACTATTCTGATTAAAGCAATAGTACATGAAAATGCCAGAAAAGAACTCTGCAGAATGCCACAGTATATAATGAAAACTTTCTCATTGCCCTTTCAGAGGCAACCACCATTACTGTTTCTTATGTATTCTCCCACAAATAATGTATGCATATGTATGCTTATTTATGTATATATCTCTTTTGTAAGATAACAGCATACTCTGTTCTCACACTCTTTTCACTTAACAGTATATAGTGTTTTAATTATGATTCCATATTAGCAAATATAGAACTTTAATCTTCTGTATAGACACATAGTGATAAATGTTATGCATATATTAAACAAAATACATTTATTAAGTTTTTAATATTGCTGAATCATTTGTGACATCTGACAGTTCAACCTATTTCTCAAAATATAGAAATGCCTAATCCTCTTACCTCATAGGGCTTTGCCCAGAGTTATTAACCAATAATACTCAGAATTTGTCAGTTTTTACATCTATATTTAATTGTATCTGGTCTTCTGCAAATGTCATAAATAATACATTTCTCTTCAGAGAAGTAGTAATTATGATAAAACTTTTCAACTTTCTTGTTGGGGGCTAGGGTTAAAAGGCTGAGCCTATTCAAAAGCAACCAATCTAATGAAGAAAGTAATACAGTTGGCATCTAGTGAGTACCTACTATAAGCTAGGCTTTGCATTAAACATCTTTGAAAATGAAAGTGTTAGTCTCTCAGTGGTGTCTGACTCTTTGCAACCCCATGGCTGTAGCCACTATGCTCCTCTGTCCGTGGAGTTCTCCAGGCAAGAATACTAGAGTGGGTTGCCATTTCCTTCTCCAGTGGATCTTCCTGACCCAGGGACCGAATCTGGGTCTCCCGCATTGCAGGCAGATTCTTTACCATCTGAGCCACTACGGAAGCTCATTAAATATTAAAGATGTATATTAAATATCTTTATATACATCTAATCTTCATAACAGCCTAAGATAGTTATTATCTTGCCATTTCAATGTATAAAGAAATTGAAAATCAAAAAAGTTAACTAATTTGTCTATGGTCAAATTGTTAATAAATAGACACAAATTGAAGCTAATACTGACTCAAAGGAAATCTTTTTATTCAGTGGTTACCACACATAGTACTCCAAGTACTTCTAAAAAGGTGAAATTTTTGCTACCAGTTTTTATTATTTGAAAAGAAACCATAATCTACAACAGATGTACTACTATAAAAATAATAATTTATTTACAACTTTTACTCATTCATACCAGTGTCTCACCTATTTTATTTTTGTAGCCATTGCTTCCCAACCAGTGAGTTTCCTAGAGAGAGTTGAGAAGACAAAGAGGAAACTAGTAGTAGTCTTTAAGCTGATAAACAAAACCCCAAGCGCCAAAAGTATTGAAATAATGGATGTTGAAAACTTAAAAAAACTCTAAAGGTGAAGGAGGAAATGCCTCAGTTTGAAAAAAGTTTGAGTAGTAAATAATATAAGAACTGTATACTGTTGTATAAATTTTCACCCAAACAAAGGCAGACTCCTCAGTTTTGGGGGTTTTTGGGATTTTTTTCTTCTAGTTTTTCTCTCATAGCCTGTAGCTTAAAAAATAAATACAAACAGGTTCTATAGCTTCTCAGGACTGGAAGGGCTATGAAGATCATATATTTTACTTTACTAGTCTAGACCTGAGTACTCTTGAATCCAGAATTCTTGCCAAGTGCTTGTTGAGTTTAGGAATAACTCTTATATTAGCCAGAGAAAGGGAGGGTTGAATTTTAAGAACTTGAAGATCCTAGACTATCCTCAGATTCTGTTTTTTTGAAATATACTTGGGCACATAGTATGTGGTCTTTAAGCACCTGTTAAATCACACTGAATTGAAAGTAATATTTTTAGTATAAGGAGTGTTGCTCTCATAGGGAGGTGAATATGTATCATATGTTAAAGAAGCAGAACTATTTCTTTAGCATCTCTCTCTGTAGGCATGAAATCAGATCTAGAATGGAAGGTTGTGGAAGACTAAGATAAATGTGAAATGGAGGTGACAGACTCACTCTCTTCAGATAATCTACTACATTCATGTTTATTGAGATACATTTAACTTTATGCTCTGTGGCTTCTCATTTTTTCCTTGCTTTCTATAATGGTCTTAAACATTGTTTGAGAAACACAACATATATTTTTTAAATATGCTCCTTATTACTTCTTACTTTTGCTTATATTTTGGTCTTCTCAAATCATTTAAATAACATTTTTACAGGAGATAAAGGAAATACAAGTTTGGTGATTTTATAAACATTTTATAAAATGTTAAACATGAAAACTTTTCCATTTTTTCCTACTTGTAGAATTTCAAGAACCTTATGCTGTTGCAGTACTCCTGGAGAAAGATCTCATTGTAGTTGATCTGACACAAAGCAAGTAAGTTGTCCATGTATAGATTAACACTAACTATTTTTAAACTCTATTTATTGCAACTGAAATATAGGAGGACATTATAAGTAATTTGGCATTAGAATTCTTTAGGTGGTAAATATTCTTTATGTGGCATACTGTTTTCTTAGAATTACATAAATATAATTTGGTTCAATAATGAAAGCTAAACCAGGAGAGTTTAGGGGACACTGAAAATTTTACAAGATATTTTCAAGGCAGCCCCTAATGTTTAGAAAGAGGCATTTGGAGACTCAGGACACATAAAATGGATCTCATTTCTGCCATTTCCCTAAGCAAAAACAGTTGTTACAAAATCTTGCAGGAGGTACTGTCTGGCTATCTGCTGACCATTTAAAAGGAAAATTCATGTGATAAAAGTATTATTGGACTACTGTGGCAGACAATATAGATGATCAGGATCTGGAAGGAAGAGAAGATAGATACCTTCTTATACTTTTTCTTTTTTCCATTATGTTGTGGGCAGTGGAAACAAATATAAAATTCGTATTAGAGTGGTACTCCCCACTACTTTACATGGACAGTAAAAGTAGACTTGACTTTGATAAACCCTGTCTTCCTGCTACATATTTTCATTGTCAATGATGATAGGCATGAAGCTTATTTTCTCTCAAACTATGTTCTAGATACTCTGATCATTTTTTAGTCCCTTATATTTGCAGAGCTTTTATACATCCTCTCTCTTCTGCATGGAAAATTTTCTATTCCTTTTTCTCCTTATTAACATCTGTAAGAATCTCAACTCAGATATCATCTCCTCATTTAAAGAAAATCTTTCATTATCTATATAATTTGGTCAAATATCCTATTAAGGGCTATCTTAGATCCATGTTCCTGTCCTTCATAGCTTTGACAAAATGAAATTTTTCACTTGTTATTATTTTAAAGATTGTCTCCCTACTAGACTATAGGTCTCATGAAGAACAAGCTTTGTCTCCACATGAAGTATGTTCTTAATAAATTGTTGTTGAATGAAGTACAATCTGAGTTTTACTTTCAATGTAGGTTGTAAGTATAAGAGCCAAAGTTGTTCTTTGTGATCATTTGCATCATATAATATTTCAATATTTTGAAAGGGAATAGAATTGGTCCATAATATCACCATAATTGAATTCTGCATAGCTACTTTATTTGTCAACATAAAACTGAGTAAATTTTGTGTTCAAGTGTGGATTTATGCCTCTTAAGTTCTAATATAGGTTTTATTAAAATACAGTTTTCTAATCTCACTTGTAGTCAACTCTTCCTTCTATGCCATATTTATTGGTTCTTCATACCTTGTCTAATTGTCTAACATCCTCCAAGGTCCACTATACTTTCCTTTTAATATTCACATTCTTTAGTATATATTTACTCTTTTTAAAATTTTTTATTGTGGTAAAATAATAACATAAAATTACTATTTTTATACATTAATTATGCTTTCAGCATACTTACCTTATGTAAGTATGTGAACTGACATTTTGTTTGCATGTTTTTATCTAATATTTTGCCTTCTTCAGCACTCAGTTTTGTTTTAAAATCTATGCGACTTTCCCATTTTGTTGTCTAATGCAAGAAGTTTAATGTGTCAAAAACTGAACATGTTCTCTTTCCCTCCAAATAGTTACCCTTTAGCCATGTTTAATGTTAAGTTGTAGCTTTGTCCTCCTTTCTAAATAAATTTATTCCTTCCTTCTTTTCCATTTAATCCTCTACATGAAAGCAAGCATTAGAACTTACATTTTTTCCCTCTTCTTGGTTTCTTGGATTTACACTTCTACAACAATTTACACTTCACATGTAAAATTTATCATATATTTCAGCTATTCTTTCTTAAATAGCTAAAGAAAGCTATGCCCATATGATAAAGTTACTTTCCCCAAGCATTTTCGTGATATTGTTCACTTTCTCAGGAGTCTATCATTGTAACCTCTTGCTATTACCAGATCCCAGGTTGTAGATCTGAACTTTAAGGTGATCTACTTATTTTACTTCTAATTCTTTGACATCAACAATATTGATGATTTCTACTCTGAAACAGGGAATCTCTGATCCATTCAGTTTAACCTACTTGCCATTTATTAAACTTAACGTTCTCTTTTGTACATGATTTTCCATATACTCCTATTCTTAACTGGGAAACCATTAAAATTGAAGGGAAGAGAGAACCCCTGTCAACACACACATAGACACACACACCATGCTCTTCTGAAGTTTGAACCAAGTTTCTGATTAAGTTTCTTAATCTTAAATATGGGGAATATAGGGAAAATTATTTTTAATGGTCCTCCCCCCATCCCAGAGCACATTGTATCAGAGGTAACAGTCACACAGTCTGAGAACAGATGCAGCATGTATAATACTTACTCCGTCTGCCACAGTGCCTGGTATACTCAGTACAAAAGAAGTGCACAGTGTATTGTTTCCCTGGGAGTTCTTAATTTGGTTCCATATGGATACCCTTTTTAAAAATGATAATTGGCTTGAGGATATAAAATTTACTACACCAATATGTCTGCATGCCAACTTTGCTTTCTGATTTACATAGGAAATGATCTCAAACATGTATAATCATACTTGTATCTACATAGTACACACATCTTTCAGTTACTCCCTATAAAAGTACAAAATGAAAATCTTACCTATGTATTATGTGCCTTAGAAAGCATGTAAAATTTACTGATATTTTAATACTTTTATAAACATATAGGTAAAACTATACATAAAGTACCTAGTTGATACATTTTAATAAACTGTCAACTTTCTGCATCTTTTCAATTTAATATAGTCTGTGTATATTAGAAAGTAATATTGCTGTGGAATTTTGGAATTACAAGAAAGAAAATGAGTTTATTCAAGTAAAATTCTACCAGTATTCATAGTACATTTTATAGATATATTTTTTAAAAGAGATTTCTTGTTCAGGTGATAATTGTTTATGATGCTTAAAAAACAATTATGTGAAATGTATCATCAATATTTAGAAGGTTTTAGGATTTGTTTTATATTAGTTATTTTATTTTTATATTAAATTTTATATTACAAATGATACTAATATATTGTCTTTATCTACTAGCTTTCCAATCTTTGAAAATCCATATCCCATGGACATTCATGAATCACCAGTTACGTGCACAGCATATTTTGCTGATTGCCCACCAGATTTGATTCTAGTGCTCTACTCTATAGGAGCCAAGCATAAAAAACAAGGATACAGTAATAAGGTAAAAGCAACAATTAGAAAAATATTTTCCTGTATTCATATCTGTATCATATGATCATACTTTTTATTTTTTTTCCTATGGGAAGTCAGAAAATGACTTGAACCAAATTATTTTCAAGTCATAAGCTTGCACACTAAAAAAGACTGTTTCTGAAAGCCAAATTATCTAAATGCTACATAGCTTTAAGTCTACAATAATATAAATTTCTTATATATTAAGTACATAATTATATACTAAGATATACTTACCTATCATGTGTGTATATTTATATACTAAGTATGTGTGTGCTGAGTCACTTCAGTCTTGTCCAACTCTTTGTAACCCTATGGACTGTAGCCTGCCAAGCTCCTCTGTATTTGGGGACTCTCCAGGCTAGAATACTGGAGTGGGTTGCCATTCCCTTCTCCAGAGGATCTTCCTGACCCAGGGATCGAACCCATGTCTCATGCGGCTTCTGCCTTGCAGGCGAATTCTTTACCACTGAGCTACCAGGGAAGTCTATACTAAGAATATGTTTAAACTAACATATGGTTGAGTAATAGGATGTTACTTTAGATTATTTTAGGTGAAAGACTATGGTTTTAAGAAATTCAAGTCAAATCTCTCTAGTTATTTCTTATCAATCAGTGGTTAATAAGACATAATTATCAAGTTATTTGTTAAATATAACAAAATGGAATTTTAGGAAGTTATTTAACTACAGGATTGAAATGCCTACAATTTTAAGAGACCCTCCATTATAATTTCTGTTATTTGCACAGGACTGTTCAGATGGACAACTCCAGGGGGCACAGTTTACATAGTGCTTTGTATTGAATGGCACCACAGCAGTTTGGGAGTACATACCCTATGTGGAAAATATAGCAACACTGTATTTGTATAGTTAAAAATGCTTATTTGCATTTTTGGATGAATGGTAATATTTATTGAAATCTGTTTTTAAAGGATATTAAGTTATACACTTGGAATTGTTCAATGAAAGAATTAAAAAATAGCTACAAATTTCATTCTTCATAAGTTAACAGCTATTTCTGTGGGAGAAGGCGAGGGTGGGATGTTTCAAGAGAACAGCATTAAGTGAAACTTTTACTCTTATTTTAAAATATTTTTATTTTAAATTTCTAAGTCATTTAAATTAAAAAAATAAAAGCTTATAATTTCTTCCTGTGTAATCTATTTAGGAGTGGCCAATCAGTGGAGGAGCTTGGAATCTTGGCACACAAACATATCCAGAAATCATTATTACTGGGTAAGTGGTTGTGATTTATGAGTTTGTCAATTTATCATCAAAAATATTTCATTGAATATTCACACTCTTCCATAATTCTGCTCTAGTAATGCTGACAGTTTAAATAAAAATATAAGACACAGCTTCTGTCCAAAGATTGTAACCTTTATAGAAGAGTCAAACCATTGAAAAACATAGATATATAACAATAAATAAGTATAGACTATAAGACCAGATGAAGGTCAAAGATAGAAAAATCATGAAAAATTAGTCAATGAAGAGTTTTTGTAGAATTCATAGACTATTAGCCTTGGAAAGGTCCTCATCAGTATCTCTTGATTCCTTCCAAATCTAGGAATCACTGCTCTGTATCCCCATTAGGTGGTTATTTAAAGTATACTTCAAAACTTATAGCACCAGAAATATTATTACTTCATATAGCAGTCCACTTCATGCTCTAATATTAGGAATAAAAATAGAAACATAGCAACACACAAGATAAGATTTAAAAGATAATAAGGGACTCTGTTTGGGGATATAGAATAGATTTAATTTTCCCTATTCTTCCCACTAAGTACAACTAAACCCCCTGGATATTATGTATTTAAAAACATAATATGATTGAAAAAGATGAAGAGACGTCACACTGACTAGGGCCCCAAAGACCCAAGGAATGACATGGAGGTGAGTTTCCTGTCTTTTGTTTTTGTCTCATATATCCAAGAATTGGAACTGAAAAAGCTGGCAACCTGGAACTTACAGTGGGCACAAACCTGAAAGGCCCAACAAAAGCTAGCTCTCTCTAGCCAACAAGATGAGGAAAGGGGCAGCCTATCAGGACAGAAAATTTTTAGAAAATAATCTTTCTACTGCAGCTAACCACCACAGGAAAAAACTGTGGCCCCCACCCCAACCCATTTCATCTAAGATTGAATGGGGAGCCTGGACTTCTACCCTCATCAGGCCACAACAATGTACCTCAACTTACCCCAACTCAGTCTCTGAGACTGAGCACAGGTCTGAGTAGCGAGCTGGGACTTTTAAGTCTGCTGAGTGGTAATGAAATACATCACCTGTGGTGACAGAGATCATATGGGGAGACAGAATCCCCAGCACTGCCCAGCAGTAATGAGGAGCCATATACCCTCCCCTTTTTGTGTCAGTAGAAGTCCACTGGGGAAGGAGAAAAGAACAGGGCTGAAAAAGTTCATAAGGAAACAATGATGAAAACGTCCCAAATTTGGCAAAAGACATGAACTGAGAGATTGCAGAAGGTGGGTGAGTCACAAGAAGTCCTCAAGATACATGATAGTCAAAATACTGAAAACTAAATTCCAAGGGGAAAAAATCTTGAAAACAGCAAAAGAGAAATGACACTTTTACCAACAGGGCAAAACTAATTTGAATGAAGGCAGATTTCCCACTAGAAAACATGGAGGCTAGAGGAAACCTGAATCTTTCAAGTGCAGAAAGAAAAGAACTGGCAACTTAGAATCCTATACCCAGCAAAAATGTCTTATAGAAATTAGAAATTAATACATTCTAAGATGATGGAAACTAAGAATTTGTCTATATCAGACCTATCAAAAAGAATCCCAAAAGGAAGCTCTCTAAACAGAAAGCAAATGATAAAAGAAGAAACCTTGGATTATGAGGAAGGAAGGAAGCCCACAGTAAGTGAAAATCTGGGCAACTACAATAGGCTTTCTTGCTTTTGAGTTTTTAAAATTATATTTGATGATTGAAGAAATTACAGTTGTTAATACTATGGTTTGATTATATTGTTTGATGTGGTTTTACATATGTATAGAGGAAATATTTAAGGCAATTATAAATGGGCAAGGGTAAACTGGTATAAAGAAAGATAAAGTTTTTATGTGCTAAGTTGCTTCAGTCATGTCCAACTGTGTGCGACACCTATGGACTATAGCCTGCTAGGCTCCTCTGTCTATGGGATTCTCCAGGCATGAATACTGGAATAGGTTGTCATGCCTTCCTCCAGGAGATCTTCCCAAAGGTATCAAATCTGCATCTCTTACATCTCCTGTCTTCACAGGCAGGTTCTTTACCACTAGCACCCCTACTTACCTTAAAATGGTAGTATGATAACATCAGTAGACTATGATAAGTTAAATGAACATACAATGCAGTACCTAATGCAACCCTGTTTAAAAAAAAACAAAACTGGGCTAAGAGATATACTCAAAACATTACTGACTCATAAAAATGGATGTACTAAAATAATTCAAATAGCCCATAGGAAAGAAGGTGAAAAAACAGTGACAATAGAAGAGGAAAAAACAAAAGAAAAAAAAAGTGTTATTATTGAAATTTTAAGGCTTAAATGTAAATGGTCTGAATACATTAGTTCAAATGCACTGATTGGCAGAGTAGATTAAAAAATATAACCAAACTGCATGCAATTAACAATACACTCACTTCAAATATAATAGTATCACCAGGTTAAGAGAAAAAGAACAGAAAAATACTTCATAAAAGAGTCAGTGGAGAGTGACATCAGCAAGATGTCAAAATAAGTAACCCCAGACCTTGTTCTCCCACAGATACACAGATTTAACAACAATATATGGTCTAAAACCCTTTATGAAAACTCTGGAAACCAGTTAGAAAATCATAGTATCCCAGGGGAGCTCAAAGCCAGGAATAGCCACTCTGAAATGGGTGAAAACAATCATTTTATTTCAGCTGTGTCAGCTCCCCCCCCCCCCCAAATTGGCACAGCTCATGTTCAAGGAGGAATTGAATAAGAAGGAAGTTATGGACTAGACTGTGCATCCAATGTTCCTGATTTTCAAGGGACTTCCAAAGAGACTAGTTTTTATTTCCCCTCAGTCAGAATACTGATGGAATCTGGATGTCCGAGTATCCACAGAAAACAAGAGAGAGCTCAGTGGCTTGTTGAAATGCCAAGATACTTGCAGTACTACAGACATAATGGATGGAGCAAGAGTGTGCAAGCTCCTGAAAAAAGAAACCAGCAAACCTCTATAGTTGGGAAATTATACACACAATCCCAGAGAAGATGCATCCCCACTGAAGGTTTGAGAGACCCCAAAGAGCTTGGTGAAGGTCTTTCCCTGTATAAAGCCAGTCGTGGCTGTACTTTCAAATGCTAAATTCACAACATAAAATAACAAGGCACATAAAAAAAATAGGCAAACACAGCCGAATCAAAGGAACAAGATACATGTCTAGAAACTGACCCTAAAGAATTTGATATCTGTGATTACATGACAATTCAAAATAATTGTCTTAAAGAAAATGCATGACCAGAGAACACAGGCAGACAACTAAACAAAATAAGGAAAGTGATGCATGGGTGAAATTAAAATATTAACAGAGAGGTAGAAACTATTAAAAAGAACCAGAAATAAATTTTTAAGTGAAACAATAAAATGACTGAATTGAAGATTTTACTGGAGGGGATCAACAGCAGATTTAATCAGAAGAAAGAACCAGCAAATTTGAAGATATAAGAAATACTGAGTGAGAGGGATAAAAGTTAAAAGAATGGGACAGAGGAATTATTTGAAGAAATGTTGGCTAAAAACTTCTCAAATCTGAGGAAGTAAATGGACTTCCATATTCATTGGGTATGTATCAAAATACTCCAGTGAGGATGAACCCAAGGAGGACAACACTGAGACACATTATAAACAAATTGTCAAAGACAAAGAAACAGTCTTAAAAGCAGCAACAGAAAAGCTATTCATTATGTGTATGAAAACTTACATGAGATTATCATTGGATTTCTCAGCGGAAATATTATAGGCTAGAGGGGAGTAAGATGATATATTTAAAGTGCATTAAGAATAAAAGAAAAACCAGTTATGAACACTGTATCTGGGAAATTGTACTTCAAAAATGAAGGAGAAATAAAGGCCTTCCAAGATAAACAAAGGGCTTCCCTGATACCTCAGTTGGTAAAGAATCTACCTGCAATGCAGGAGATCCTAGTTCGATTCCTGGGTCAGGAAGCTACCCTGGAGAAGGGAAAGGCTACCCACTCCAGTATTCTGGCCTGGAGGATTCCATGGACTGTATAGTCTATGGGGTCGTGAAGAGTCCCACACAACTGAGCGACTTTCACTTTCACTAAGATAAACAAAAACATTTATTAGCAGTATACTTGCCTCACAAGGATTGCTAAAGAGAGTCCTTTGAGTTGAAATGAATGAACACTAGACAACAAAATGAAAGCAAAAGAAAATATAAAGTTCTCTGGTAAAAGTAAATACATAGACAAAAACAGAATCCTGTAACACTGTAGTGGTGGTGAATCACTTTAAATTCAGGTGCTTTTTCTTTGTTTATTGAGATGATAATGGTTTTTCTTTTTCAATCTGACAGTATAAGGAAATATACATGGTGATTGATTTTTAAGAATGTTTAACTGGCATCGCATTTCTGGGATAAACCACACTTAGTTTTATGATATATTATCCTTATGCTTTTTAAATTAGATTTGCTAATATTTTGTTGACAGTTTTTTTCCTTACATCTATGCTCAAGGGATATTGGTCTGTCATTTTCTTTTCTTGCCATGTTTTTTCATGGCTTTGGTGTCAGGATAAAACTGACCTCATGAAATGTGTTGGGAAGTATTCTGTACTCTGTGGCTCAGTGATAGAGTCTACATGCAGTGCAGGAGACCTGAATGTGATCCCTGGGTCGAGAAGATTCCCTGGAGAAAGGATAGGCTATCCACTCCAGTATTCTTGCCTGGAGAATCCCATGGACAGAGGAGCCTGGTGGGCTACAGTCTATGGGGTCACTAATAGTAATTCAAGTTTTTATACAGTTCGAACAATTATGATTTTTTAATTGACCATACTTAATGCTAATTTATTTCTTATCTAGGCATGCAGATGGATCAATTAAGTTTTGGGATGCATCTGCAAGTAAGTTTTACATTTTTCCTTCTATTATAGAAAAAACACTTGGTTAGTATTTACTCATAGCCATTTACCACTTTTTAGTTTGGACAGTTAACATTTTAGATAAATATTTAGCATACACGTATCATTGTATTATTTCTACTGTACTTTTTTTCTATGATATAGGCAGAACTGAAACACTCTTTATTAGCAACCTATTATAAGAGGTAAGGTAAGCTGAAAAAATGTACCAAATTATTCATATGTCAGAGTAACTCTGCTCAAGGAATTTCCTTCACTTCTTCACTCTGTGGTCTTGGAAAAGTGTTTTTGTGCTACTAGTCTTTATTTTCCTTTGCTGCTTGTCTACCAAGTGTCTGAGAATCAAAAGAAATAATTTGGTAAATGTAAATTTTCTTTTGAAATCTTGAGAATTACATAATTTAATTTAAGGAAAAAAGGTAATCTGCTCAATATTTAAGACTTGATTGTACCCATACATACCCTTCAGAAAATTTATAGGGCAAACAATATGGTAAGAACTCTAAATGTAGTACAACCCAAGTTCTATTTGATATTGGAAATGGGAGATTTATTTGACCAGGTAGATTCAGAAATGTATTTTGATGGGGTAACATTGTGTGAATTTTGGAAGATAAGATTTTGATAAGACTAGGAGGAGAGAATAACTGAGTAATGTCTCTTAACTTTGTGAGGATGAGTAATCATCAAGATGGAGACAACTCTTCAGAAATAAGAATACAGGAGAGTTCTGGAGGTTTGGGTTTTGTTGGAACACCAGGAAATTCAAGTAAAAATGTCCATCAGTTAGGAAGAACAGTCAAGAATGGTATATAATGAAGAAGCAGCACTAAAGTGATACCTGAAGCTATAGAAGTAAACTGAGAAAGACTGTGATAAACAGAAAAGCAGGGGAAGAAAGTTGAATATTAATGACAGTCTTAGTCTGCAAGCTTGAGTCCTTTAGCAGTGGAACAAAACATCAACAAAGGAAAATTATTAAAAGATTTAAAACCATGAATTCTGAGGCCCCTTTCTGATCTCACAATAAAAAACAGTTGATGAGAAATTCCAAAGGATGACAGTTTTTTATTTTGATGAACCTTTTCATGTAAATCTTAATTTGTTCCATGAACACAATTAATTGCACAGTGATATCTTTGCTCATTTCATACCACCTCAAAGTTACTCCTTATCTTTTAGAATGTGAGAAGTAAATGTAAATCTAATGACTTAAATGCATGCCACCCTGAAAGCATACATGATAATATTTTAGGAAGTTAACTTCTAAATAAAGTATTTTATTATACTCAGAACATATATTATAAAAGTTTGCAGCATGTTTAATATTTTTACTGTAATCCATTATAACAGCATATCTTCAAATCAGTGTGTTATTGGAGAAATATCAGTTAGTGTGCCAGTTTTGTGGGATAGGGTCCAGTACAGGAAATGAAGTTATATTTAATTTGAATAGATATGTGTACTGTTGACCCTTGAATAACATGGGGGCCAGTCAGATTGGCTGTACCAACCCTCTACATAGTCAACCCTCTACCCATAACTTACAATTGGGGCATAATTTATAGTTGGCCCTCACTTACAGTGTTCCTCTGTATCTGTGATTCAGCATCTGAGGATTCAGTCATTCTCAGATTGTGTAGTACTATAGTATTTACTACTGAAAATAATCTGAGAATAAGTGGACCCATGCATTTCAAACCTGCATTATTCAAGGATCAGCTGTATTCATCTTCAGTTGCTGAGTAAGAAAGGAGAGACAAGAAAGCCTTCCTCAGTGATCAATGCAAAGAGAGGAAAACAATAGAATGGGAAAGACTAGAGATCTCCTCAAGAAAATTAGAGATACCAAAGGAACATTTCATGCAAAGATGGGCATAATAAATGACAAAAATGGCATGGACCTAACAGAAGCAGAAGATATTAAGAAGAGGTGGCAACAATACACAGAAGAACTGTACAAAAAAGATCTTCATGACCCAGATAACCATGATGATGTGATCACTCACCTAGAACCAGACATCCTGGAGTGAGAAGTCAAGTAGGCTTTATGAAGCATCACTATAAACAAAGCAGATGGAGATAATGGAATTCCAACTGAGCTATTTAAAATCCTAAAGATGATGCTGTGAAAATGCTGCACTCAATATGCCAACAAATTTGGAAAACTCAGCAGTGGCCACAGGACTGGAAAAGGTCAGTTTTCATTCCAATCCCAAAGAAAGGCAATGCAAAAGAATGTTCAAACTATGATACAATTGCACTCATTTTACACACTAGCAAAGTAATACTCAAAATTCTCCAAGTCAGGCTTCAACACTAAGTGAACCATGAACTTCCAGATGTTCAAGCTGGATTTAGAAAAGGCAGAGGAACCAGAGATCAAATTGTCAGCATCCGTTGGAGCATAGAAAAAGCATGAGAATTGTAGAAAAACATGTACTTCTGTCTCATTGACTACGCTGAAGCCTTTGACTGTGTGGATCACAACAAACTGTGGAAAATTCTTCAAGAGATGGGAATACCAGACCACCTTACCTGCCTCCTGAAAAATCTGTATGCAGGTCAAGAAGCATCAGTTAGAACTGGACATGCAACAACTGACTGGTTCCAAATTGGGAAAGGAGTACGTTAAAGGCTGTATATTGTCACTGTGCTTATTTAACTTATATGCAGAGTACATCATGCAAAGTGCCAGGCTGGATGAAGCACAAGATGAAATAAAGATTGTGATTGAAATATCAATAACCTCAGATATACAGATGATACCACCCTTATGAGAGAAAATGAAGAGAAACTAAAGAGCATCTTGATGAAAGTGAAAGAGGAAATTGAAAAAGCTCACTTAAAACTCAGCATTCAAAAAACCAAGACCATGGCATCCAGTCCCATTGCTTCATGGCAAATAGATGGGGAAACAATGGAAACAGTGACAGACTTTATTTTCTTGGGCCCCAAATCACTGCAGATGGTGACTACAGCCATGAAATTAAAAGATACTTGCTCCTTGGAAGAAAAGCTATGACAAAACTAGATAGCATATTAAACAGCAGAGACATTTCTGACAAAGGTCCATCTAGTCAAAATGGTTTTTCCAGTAGTTATGTGTGGATGTGAGAGTGGGACTATAAGAAGTATTAGCGCCAAAGAATTGATGCTTTTGAACTGTGGTGTTGGAGAAGACTCTTGAGAGTCCATTGGACAGCAAGGAGATCAGTCAGTCCTAAAGGAACTCAATCCTTAATATTCACTGGAAGGACTGATACTAAAGCTCCAATACTTTGTTCACCTGATTCTAAGAGCTGACTCACTAGAAAAGACCCTGTTGCTGGGAAAGATTGAAGGCAGGAGGAGAAGGGGATGACAGAGGGATGAGATGGTTGGATGGCATACCAACTCAATGGACATGAGTTTGAGCCAGCTCCAGGAGATGGTAATGGACAGGGAGGCATGTTGTGCTGCAGTCCATGGGGTCGCAAAGAGTTGGACATGACTGATTGACTGAACACAGCAAATTACCACAAGTTAGCAGTTTAAAACAATACCCATATATTGCTTCACAGTTTCTGTGTCATGAATCTGGTTCAGATTCTTTGGGTTCTTTGCTCAGGTCTGCTGCTGCTGCTAAGTCACTTCAGTCGTGTTGAACTCTGCAACCCCATAGACGGAAGCCCACCAGGCTCCCCCATCCCTAAGATTCTCCAGGCAAGAATACTGGAGTGGGTTGCCATGTCCTTCTCCAATGCATGAAACTGAAAAGTGAAAGTGAAGTCGCTCAGTCGTGTCTGACTCTTAGCGACCCCATGGACTGCAACCTACCAGGCTCCTCTGTCCATGGGATTTTCAAGGCAAGAGTACTGGAGTGGGGTGCCATTGCCTTCTCCGTTGCTTGGGTCTAAGAGACTGAAATTGAGGTGTTGGCTAGTCTGAAGCTCAGAGTTCTCCTCCAAGCTCATGTAATTGTTGGCAGAATTCATTTTCTTCCAGTTTTAAAACACATGTCCAAAACAATCCATTTCACCTTTTTCTCAGGTGCACATGGAACCTTCTCGAGAATAGATCACATCCTGGGCCATAAATCTAGACTTGCTAAATTTAAAAAAATTGAAATTATTCCAGTCATCTTTTCTGACCACAATGTAGTAAGATTAGTTCTCAATTACAGGGAAAAAAAACTATTAAAAATTCAAACATATGGAGGCTAAACAACATGCTTCTGAATATCCAACAAATCATAGAAGAAATCAAAAAAGAAATCAAAATATGCATAGAAATGAATGAAAATGAAAACACAACAACCCAAAACCTATGGGACACTGTAAAAGCAGTGCTAAGGGGAAGATTCATAGCATTACAGGCCTACCTCAAGAAACAAGAAAAAAGTCAAATAAATAACCTAACTCTACACCTAAAGCAACTAGAGAAGGAAGAAATGAAGA